ACCACCATGACCTGTCCTAACCCTCTGGAATTGCAGAGGACTAAAAAACAATTATAATGATTTGCAGCTATAAACACAAGATTTCAAGCCATCAGCCTTTTGTTTGCGGAAAACTTACTTTTAAACTCCAGATCAACTAACCATTGGACATTGCGATTCCTATAATTTCTTTTCACATCCTGGTGCCATAGCAACTGGAGGTTCTTCAATCTTGGTGAGGCAGGGTGTTATTCCTGGCCCTGTTACTCTGAATACCCCTCACAATGCAGTTCTTTTCTACTCGTGCTCTCTTTATATTCCTCCATCGGCATCTCTTCAGCAAACCGATCTTCAAGCTCTCTGTGACCAGCTTCCTAAGCCCTGTATCATAATGGGTGATATGAACGGACATAATCCACTTTGGGGTAGTGATCATACAAGCAGTAAAGGCAAGCTCCTTGAAGATTTTATTTCCAACAATACTCTATGCCTTTTTTATGATAACTCAAAAAACACCTTACATCCTGTTACAGGCACATACTCTTCTGATTTGTCTGTTACAGATTCCAACCTGCTGAATTAATTTTAGTGGTTAGTCAACGATGACCTCTGTGGAAGTGACCACTTTCCAACCATTCTGAACCCAATTAATCCATCTGATGTTCCTCCATCATCTCGATGGAACTTTACCAAAGCTAACTGGCTTCTATATGACAATCTCTTTACACACAAACACCTGATCATTTTACTGGCGTTCCAATACCATGCTTTTCTGATAAACTCAACAAAATAGCTCAAGAATGTGCTCAAAAGTCCTCTGGAATTCCCCACATAAGTAAACCATGATTTACCGTTGACTGCAAACGAGCTAAGAAGTTGAGGGAAAAGGTGGAGCGATATTTCCACCGCCATCCTATGGTCCATAAATTAAATAAATTTAAAATTTTAGATGCAAAAGCACGACGTACATATAAACAAAGTAAATGCCAATCTTGGCAAAATTATGTTTCAAAAATAAATTCACGAACATCCAAGGTGTGGAACATGATCCAAAAAATCAAAGGTAAAGGCACTAAATCTAGTATACATCATCTTAAAAATGGAGGACATTTCCTAATTCATAAATCAGATATTGCAAATAATTTTTTTGAAACTTTAGCTAAACACTCTTCCTCATCTCAACTTTTTACCTCAATTCCAAAAGTAACAAAAACAGCAAGAAAAGAAACCTATTAATTTTATTTCAGATAACGGGGAAGATTATAATGAACTAGTCTCTATTCATGAACTCCATACTGCCCTTGGACAAGCCCCTTGATACTGCTACAGGAGGTGATAACATTCATTATCAACTCCTGAAGCACTTACAAGAATCATCTTTAGAAACACTATTGACTATTTTGGATGAATCTCCTCCTTCGTGGCGTGATGCTATCGTAATACAAATACCCAAACCCGGTCGAGATCATACAGACCCTTCACATTATCGACGAATATCATTGACAAGCTGCGTTTGCAAAACCATGGAACGCGTGATATATAATCGACTAGTTTGGCACCTAGAATCCAATAATCTTATTACAAATATACAATGTGGTTTCCCTTGAACAGAAGTACCATAGATCATTAAGTTCGCTTTGAATCAGTTGTTGAAAATGCAATAATAGATAAGCAACATGCAGTGTCTACCTTTTCTTCGATCTAGAAAAGGCATACGACACTACCTGGAAATGCCGTATTTTAAGAGATTTTCATGATTTGAGATTATGAGGCCGTTTGCCTCAATTTAGGCAAAATTGGTTCTCAGGCAATAGCTTTTGAAAATATCGTGTGGAAGGGGTGCCTTTTGGGGGGTTTGTGTTTTCCACAACCGAAAGGCATTACTGTGAGCACGTAAGACCGGAAATACCATGTCAACAAATCCGTACGTATACCCGAAGTACACAAATTAATCATGTAATTACGCTTTCGGGTTGTAAAAAGAGTTCATAATAAACTTTTTTTTTTAATCTTTTTAAAATTTTATTCAACATTTCATTCAATATTCTTTCAATTCGTTTTGGCGAAATCGTATGTGAAGTGATCGGAAGATCGCACAACTTACCGTCATTTACAGCAACCACGGTCATATTACCGCTATTTACGCCTTGAAACGAACTGGATAGAGAATGGATCTTTATATCATAAATGCCATACATTGAATCGCTGAAAGTCATATTTGTTGTAGTTTGACTATTATATGTCAACATATAGTTTTCGCAATCGCGGGCGCGGGAGCATAGACGGGATTGGTCAAGTTGTTCCATACGAAAAAGTATCAGGCAATGGCCATCAGCTGAACCAAAGTGCTACGCTTATAGTTATTAATTTATTTCACATATAGATAGTAAAGCTGCATATAAAACAATGCCAATCAGAACAGTAAATACAATTTAATCGGCAAATCATTATCTTTAGTGATGTTTTATCTCAAATTTCAAATTTAATATAAATTTGAAAATTGAGATAAAGCATCACTAAAGATAATGTTTTATATGCAGAGATTTAGATTACCGTGCGTCATATCTGGTAAACTGAGTCGGAAGTAGCAATCAGCTGTACACACGTTTGTATCTACCGGTGATTCGGTCAAAAATTGGATCTACCAAATTATATAACTTTAAAGAATTTTGATACAATGAGCGGAAGAATTGTATCTGAAACTAATTTTATATCAGGAATAATTTATTCCAATATCATGTTAGTTGCAGCTTTACTAGTTTAATTGTCATAATCTGTTCCGTTTTCCTGAATTCGCTGAAGGGCTACACTGTAAATTTTTTCTACGGAAGACAAACACATTTTGATTGCAAATGTAGGGATTTGGTATGTGCTTCATTCCGATTCGCTTTATAGACGGTGTATAAAGATAGCATCGATTTCCCGCTTATTTTACAAGACAAATAACCTTGTGCGTATGAAACATTGTCCCTCATACAGTACACAAATACCAATGAATTTGTTTTTGAATACCATCATCATGTCTAGTGATGTATCGCAAATTTAATGTTTTCATTGACCAAATTTGCAAACAGCAAAACAAGCACACAAACTCCTTTTGCCGCTATGACCATAACACAGAGATGCGCAGTAATGCAGTGCGCATGAAAAGGGAAGTAACTGCACGTTATATTCGATCGCATTGTTTTTAAGTATTGTAGCATTTCACAGTTGAGGTCGTGTGTTATAGACGCGGAATATTTAAGGATTTCGTTTTTGAAAATGGAAATAAAACGAAACGTGCGGGCGGACTTTATGATGAAGCGGCGGTGCCTGAGAACCAAAAATATTTTTTTTCCAGCTTTATATCCGAATTTTTAATGGACAGGCAGTGGATGGGTTCTACCCTGTCTGATGATTATAATCAGGATCAGAGTGTCCCACAAGGCAGTTTCTTGTCTGTCTCATTATTTAGCTTTAAGATAAATGGTTTATCTAAAGTTATAAATGAATCGATAGATGGATCGCTCTTTGTGGATGATTTTAATATTTCTTGTCGTGGCAAAAACATGCATACTATTGAAAGGCAACTGCAGCTAAATTTAAATATAATCCAGGAATGGTCTTTAGAAAATGGTTTTAAATTTTCAAATCTAAAACAAACGGTGTACATTTTTGCAGAAAATATAAACCCCACAAAGATCCAGAATTAATTTTAAGTAACACTCCCAATATAGTTGTAAAGGAAGCCAAATTCTTAGGTCTAATTTCGATCATCATTTGACTTTACTGCCCCACATTAAATACTTAAAGAATAAATGCTTGAAGGCCCTAGATTTATTGAAAGTTGTCTCCAGTTCAAAGTGGGGAGGGGATAAAAAAAGACCTCCTCCAACTATATGTAATACTTATCCGCTCTAAACTTGATTATGGCTCCATCATCTATGTGGTTTTGGCTTATAAGAGCAATTTAAAATTACTTTATACTACACCTTGGAGCCTTCTGAACTTCGCTTGCTCATAGTTTGTATGTGGCACCTTCCCTTAAACACCGTCGCATTAAATTAGCTCTACAATATATCTCGAAGTTACGTTCTAATGACTGCAATCCAGCATGCGACTGTGTTTTAACCCCCTTCATGGTAATCTCTACAAAACAAAATCGTCTCTTATTCCACCATTTGGGATAAGACTACAAGCAGATATTTCTGCTGCTAAAATAAATCTTGATAATATAGCCCCCATTCAGCTTTTCTCTTCTCCACCATGGCAGTCAGTACAGCCAGATGTGGACCTAACATTAACGAAACTAAAGAAATCTGACACAAATCAAATAAGTTATCAACAACAATATAATGAATTATGAAGCACATATGACACTTACAAATCTATATTTACAGATGGATCCAAGGATGGTGACATTGTTGCCAGCGCAACTGTCATTGGATCCAGGACAATCGCATCCCGATTTCCAGATAACTGTTCTATTTTAGCAGCGGAAGCAGATGCTATTTTAATAGCACTTAAATATATCAACAGCCAAACTAAATATAAAGAGTTATTGCCTTCAGGCTATTAATCGCTTGTCTTGCACACATCCACTTTTATTTGAATTTGTTGTTCATTACTATAAGTAGTATGGTTTACCTCAGGAAATAGAGACACCCTTGCTTTGCATCAACAAATATAGTGACTGTTTTTTTTTATAAGAGTAGTAAGAGGCGAGTAACGGGATCGGGTGGTCAGGCTCGCTAACTTGGTTGATGCATGTCATCGTATCCCAATTGTGTAGACTGATGCTTATGATGTCAATCACTGGATTGTCTGGTCCAGTTCATACAGTTCATACAGTTCATACAGTTCATACAGTGATATATGGTCTCAACTGACATCGATACACAACTGATCAGAGGGTTGTGACTTATGTTCCATTAAGGACACCATGCACCTTGAGATAACCTGACGTTTTCACGTTGCTAAATTAGCTGTCAAGGTAGTTAGTGATAATTTATGAATCAAAAGTAAAACACTAAAGATGTGAATCGTGTTCAAAAGGTTTATTGAATACAGATTTGTCTCAATGCCTTCTACACATTTTATTGCTTTCCAAGACAGCAGCGGTCGGTCTCTCTGAAATGAGAAGTATATGATTAAGACAAGAGTACAGGCAAGAACATAACTATCATGTTCCTCCCTGTGTGTATTGGGGGTACATGTGGCCCAGTAGCCTAAGGCGCGGCCAATCGCTGTGCAGAGTTGCGTCCCTTGGGCACACCAGAAACCTGACTTTGGTTCTAATGGGATTATGAGATTATGCATCTTGGTTTGTCAGCAACATTTCTGTGCTTGTCGGTCTCACCGTCTGACGTCTACATCACTTCGGGCTTTCCTGCCAAATGAAGCAGACACGCTTGGATATAACTGGAATAATGTTAAAAGCGGCATTGAACCCAACTCACTCACTCACTCCTGTTTGTATGATTGTGGATACTTTTATAAAACAAGAAATAACTGATAAAGTTCTTCTGTTTTTCAGTGACATGAAACTGTGACACATTTATGATTTTAAAGATAAGAACTTACCCACTGCTTATCAGGGGCTGTAATAAACAAAATATATCATCATTTTAATGTTATTTATTGTTACAATCACCTCCTAATACAAATATATACCCCAGGTAGACGTTGATGCTCTACCGGATATTTCTCTTTTGACAACACGATTGATTGATTGTCTACCGTACCTCATTCCCAATTCCTTATAACGACGTGGGACACGTCCTTCTTTACAGAAATGGCGTATATCATAGGCAGTTTGGCAGGGTACATAGGTTTTAACAGGGAGCCTATATATTTTAACGGGGAGTGTATATACGTTTCATATATTCCCTCAGTAGGTACGTTGATTATATCTATTTAAATATTCAAAGTGCTGCCAATACATATTATAACAGCAGCTGGGGTATCATTACCATGGCCGACAGCACAGAGTCATGTGCGGGAAAGTGGATTGTAATTAATGCCAGAGAATGGCCGGGTGGCCACTGAAGCTTAACTTTGTGGATGAGGTGTGGGATACTGCAGGCTTACCATATATGTAATGTAACATGGTACATGGCACTCTGACAGTGAGGGTTAAAGATAGTACGCTTTCAGTGAGGGGGGCTTGACCCTCGGACAGCGGCTAGGCAGGCTGGCCCTCTTACGCCTCAGAGATCCTGCCTGGCCATACTACTATGTAGCTATATAGACATAGTAAGATCACGAATAAACTTTGTGGACCCACAGACGGACTTGTGTTGTCAAAAGAGAAATATCCGGTAGAGCATCAACGTCTATCTGGGAGATATATATGACTGTATCCCAGTGCACATCTTTGGCAAGGGATCAAATTTTGTAGATAAAAAACGATATTTATTGGGATAACCTTCAAAATGAGAATCAATGCTTGGTTAACATAATTGCTACTTTTCTGTGTATGGTATATGTAAGTGTAATACTTAAATGGTTTTGTTATCAAAATGATGCTGTAAGATCGGTCAATGAATTCCCGGGCTTAATGCTATACGCAGTGATTTTGCTGTTGTGATTTGACGTACCAGGATGGTTCGAACTCGAGCCTCGGTTGGGCAGAGGCCGTGGTCGTGTTATAAGTCAAAGTTCCTTCATTCTCGTAGGATGTGGAGTTGAAAATGCTGAGATCGCTGAAAGATCAAACCTGTGCTTGTTACAATCGTTGTATATCGTTTCCCAGCCAAGATCAAATGAGGACTGTTTTACCAAAAGATTTTACGCACTCACTGAGTAACCCTATAAGAACCATAATAATGATCTAGTCAATCGAGGTGTTCTTAAAAGAAGTTAAATAAATCAGTCGATGCACAAAACGCGTTACTTACACAATGTTCTGATACTAATGGTGTCAGTTGTCACGAATTATAAATTTGTTTGTCAAGACATGAATAATTCGATATGTTGATGTTATATTATCTTTGTCGTTAAAGGTAATTAAACGACTCCAGCAACTTTTGCTGATGGGTGGGTCAAACAGTAAGATCCCACAGTATCGACCAGAGAGTATAGTGTTTGATATTGTTTTGAAACGTTTGACCAAACCAGAAACAGACTCGACTAAATCAGATGATGACCGTATGTACTTGAATTTGAACTTGCAAGGAAATTGATACCTTAAATTTAAGTAACATTTTCAAACGAAAATCATTTTCCCAAAATGTCTCACAATCTTTCAAATTATAGGAATGACAAACAATTTCATTTTCCTAAACGAATTCCATTTCATTCAGGTTGTTCAGATACAAGAACGTATCGCAGAACGTGGACTTGGCAGCCCGTGCAATACACAATACGTGGTACGTTCACAATGCTCTGACACTCATGATGTCAACTGTCACGAATAATAGAAGTGTTGTTAAGACATAGCTAATTTGATATATTGAGGTTATATTAAGCTTTCAAAGTTAAATGAGCGACGCTTTACATGTTGACTGATTTGAAGTGTATTTGAAGTTTGACATTAGACTTTATTAAAATGCTCACTGTACACCAGTGCTCATCATGATACATCTTATACTCGACTAATGGTGCAACATACGAAGCAATAATTTACATCAATCAAACATATAGATATCAGGATCTAAAATATCAGAGTTTTAGTGACACTATATGTACTAATTGTGGACGGTGTTTAAGAGCAAATGAAACCGCCAGGTAAAGGTTGCCTTGCTTACCCGACAGAACTGGAGGCCACGTAGATAAGCGATGAACAGGGGTTGACCTTGACGTCCCTACATTGTACACTACAGTCCAGCAGCTTGAAACATGCGGTGGCATCGTTGTGGATCCATAACGCACCAGTTTCATCACAAAACACTGTGTTATCTTTTGAAGAAAATATGTCAAGCTGTGTGTTAATGACAGCTATATTACAAAAAATAACATGGAGCATTTTGTCAACTTATCTTACGTTAGTTCAGGCATATATGTATTAAATAACTACAGCATTGGTCTGGTTTCATGTCATCTGAAACTGAATCTACTGTGATCAAATAGAAAGTTATGAAGTTATTATCAACTTTGGAAAGGGGTCGGAGGTATTGTCTAGGTTTTGGGTTGACAAATGCATATGGATTGATAATACTTTTTAACTCATGTTTTAGAAATAGGTAAATTTCTGTTTGCAAAATTCAGTGAGGTCCTGATTCTCAAGGTTAAGCTATATGCTGTACGATCCATACCTTGGTCAATGACATCAAACGAACGAATGTTCGTGGAAAACTTCACATTGGTTTCCAAATCGTCACCTGTTGAGTTGATGCTTTGGATTTCCTTGCAATTGCCGAAATACACTCGCCTTTAATGGACAAGAGAAGGTAATTAATGAAAGATCACTTTGGCATTGTGTCAATAACTTAGTGCTTATTTGTCCGACAATCGTATGAATCACTTTGAACGTTTTCATTTTGAAACATCAAGGAACAATGTTTTTGGTGTCCTGGTCAAAATCAGTGTATGTTATCCAACGTGAACTGTAGATTTTCCCCGTTTACGTCTTTGTGCGCTCTTTAGAGACATTGAACAACACAAGTAGTGACTGGTGATATGGTAGTGAGCACCGCCCTCACCCTGGTGTTCACATCCACATGCCAATCACAGAAGTGCTTACAAATCATATGCCATTATTTTTTTAAAGACAAATCACTGAAGTATAACATATCTCACATAGCTTTGACAGTTTGGCTCATCTGGGGCTAGACATTGTTACATTTCTGTCAGGAGTACATGTTGTGCGTCCTTCTTGATATTGAAAAGGCTTCCGATATGATTTGGCGACAATGGTTGCCTTTCAAATTGCAAAACCTTGAGTCAAAAGGTAACATGTTGAGATGGATACAGTCATTTCTGTCTGAAAGGGTCACTCAGGCAAGTACGAGACAATCTAACAATATGTCGTCTGGTGGATATAAACATAAAACCCAAACATAAGTATCACTTTGAAATAGCTTCAACATTTCTTTTTCTTTGTGATTTGCTGCTGAAAGAGCATCGCCGTTTATCTTAACAAAATTGTGTTTCCTTGATGATTTAATCCATTTCATTAAGTAGAGGATCCTGTCATTTCATCAGAACAATCGTGTACAATATCATACATTTTTATACTTAATAAATTAATACCTTTGCTGCAGTAAAGCTACTAGTGTTTATGAATGTAAAACATCATTTGTGTTATTGATGTTATTTATTTCTGGTCCGAGTCGCCCTCAAGCTCTACCCTCACTACCACCACCAAAAGTAAAAGGTATTCTGAAAATAATTGTTTTCGAAGTAAATCATTACCTGGTTATTTAATACAAATATTGATATATAGGATGGGATAGAAGTTTTTAGCTGGTAGGTTTTACTCTAAAATAGGTAATACTTTGCTGTTTGTGTACTTCTGTCGAATATTTCTTGTAAATTTATGCCTGAGATATGTTAAACTTCTCATTCACTAGCTGAAGTTTGTAACATAAACAGATATATTATACCAACCCATCATAACTTCTGACAGTTCCAGCACAGGAAATATTGAGAAGAATTGTCGCACTTCCACCAGAAATCGACACAAGGGAATTGACAGATGGAAGGAAATCATTAGCGGCAACGAATATTTGATCATCAAGATAAGCAATGCCTGTCCCTATTGATCCAGTTGTAGGGATAGCTAAACAGGGCAGAAACAAACATATGACATAGCAAATAATCGAATTTAATCTGTAAGCATTTTGTCAATATCAGTCATTAATCTGATGATTATATTGCTTGTTATAGGATTGTTCTTACATGTAGATAAAAGTGATAAACCCTTTTCATTAACATAAGCAATCCTCGAGTGAGTGAGAGAGTTGGGTTTAACGCCGCTTTGAACAGTATTCCAGTTATATCACAGCGTGTCAGCTTAATATGGGAGGAATGTCCGAAGTGATGCAGGTCTCAGACGTTTACCACTTCGGTTGAAACCCACGAGCATGGATATGATGCTGACAAACCTGGAAACATAATTGCGGCGAACCAGGATTCGAACTGCAATCATAAGTCTCTGGCTTATCCAAGGGATGCAACTCTGCACAGCGAATTGCGGCGACTTACACAACTGGGCCACCCATGCCCCGTACAAGCAATCTGTGCTAAAAGCAAAGTCCATTGTACGATTCCGATTACATCATTAGTTTGTGTTTGTGAATCGATATTAAATAGTGATGATACCACGAAATGTTCACCTAGATCACAGGCTATCCGTTTTATAACACGAAGTTTCAACCAACCAAAATTAAAATGATGTGAACATATTAGTATTAGATTGATGTGTATAGTTCGATTGGCAAGAAGCAGGTTCTGAGAGTGGAATGGACTTACTAAATTCTACAGTGTCATTCTCACTGGGAAGGGACAGCTGAATAACCGTGTTCCCAGGGCTGATGTAATAGATGGAGTAATCGCTATTATTGGCTCCAACAACTGTAAGAGGCCCGACATTATTACTCGCTTCTATATTTGGCAGGATGGTCCCAACTGGGTCAACCACAGCAATATCAGATGACGCGAATCCAGAAACAAGCGCTGCGCATCCCTCAACTGTAAAACAACATAGCAGATCGTTTTTTCATAAATGAAAAGAATAATTGGTCTGATAATACACAAATGTGTTCTTACTTTTTCCAGTAATATTTAGTATATTTTGAGTAACTTATTCATGCTGAGCCTTACCATATTTTTTGCAATAGTTATTAGGGTATCCCAGATAAACATTCAATATGTAATCAAGGCTTGTTTCTGATGAATGACAACAATTTGAGACTACTCATTTGAGGGAAAAGGGCCGGGGGAAGCATCAATAAAATGTTTTCGAATAACAAATGACAAATTATACAGTATTTGTACCATGTTATGTTGTTACCAGTAACAAACCGTCAGAAGAGAACGTTTGTTCATATGCACTATAATTCATGAAAGATCATGCGATTTCCTTAAGTTCTACAATTACAAAAGTGAAAATTATCCTAATATATATCATACCAGTTATTCAGAAGTACAAGTAGTACACGCGTACAGAATGACGTGGTGAAAGGGATTTATGACTAAATCACCAAAATATAATCTGTCAGAGTTTGGACTTAGTTTTTCTCTAGTACTCTGGGCACTGCCAGCTCAAAAGTATTTTGTGTTATTTCACATGGCAATATTGTCTCCTTTGACAACAACAGGAGGGTGCAGATGCACGATCTCTTTGAGTGTCCTTCTCTACTTACGTGGAGAACAATCATTCTGTGGTATACTGGTTTTGTCAGTTCAAAAGATCTGATGACTGTCAGCTCAAAAGTATTATCATCTGATCTCTTTTGTCAACAACAAGGCGGTTCAGATGAACGCTTTCTGCGATTTTACCTTTAGTTCGCTTCTCTACTTACGTGGAGGACAATCCTCAGGTTGATCCCCGATCAATGCTGTCAGATTGTTGATAAGATCGCAAATTGTGCTGTTGAGGGCTTCGAGATCACTTTCAAAGCAATCCCCTGCAGCTAAAACAGAAATATGCAGTAACTGTCATTATGTACTATAAACCAACACTTAGTGTTTGTCGCTGTTTATTGACGAAAAAGATAATGCTGTGATCAGCCGTACATGTATTGGAACTTCCGTGCTTAAACACGCCTGTAAATATAGAAACATCTGCAATTGCAAACCTTTCAGCTTTAAATAAGTAAGATATCATCAAGTTCTCTGTAAAGGGCCCAGTGCTTTTCTGATGTGCAATGGCATATTGGTTCTAAAACTCTCCTAGAGAGTGATGTTTAGACAATGTTTATCCAACCTATAAAATGTTGATGAAATCATATGAAGTATGGAGTAAAAAGTATCGAGTGAGATTATAGCACATGTGTCTCTAATACCAACAATTGGAGAATTGACATACGCAATCGTTGCACCGGAGATGATGGACAAATTATGATAAATGAGAAAATGAACGGAAGACTTTTGTTTTCTCCACAATCTGCAATGTTCGTTATATATTATGGTTTCCTGACAAAAAGTCACAAAACCAGCCATTAAAAGCATTTCGATAATCCTAAGAAATCTCTACGATTCCGATTATATCATAAACAACATTCTGCAGAGCAAAGGAAAAGTTTTTATGTTCATTATCAACATTATGGAGATATCTGATGCTCAAATATTTTTCCATCATTCGGACATAGGTAGTAGTCTAAAATAGTTGGTTTCGGAAAAGTCCATAAGTATGCATGAAAATGCCGAGACAAAAGGCATTGCTCATGGGGATATGATATCAATATAATTGCCTTGAATTGATGAAATTATCCTTTTCTCAAAAACGTGAAATCAAATAATAGAGCTACTCTAACTGTTAAAGTAAAAACTTAAGAAATGTTTCCCAGTCCCGATCTTTGGTTTCAGCACATTATGCTTGAGATTAAAGTATTCAATGTATCATTTAACTGTCTATGAAATCTTAGATTACATATATTTTGTGAATTGAAATCATACAAATCACCACTCAACGATACAGAACGGCAGCAACACAAAGAAATAATTACAACCTAAGATCATGTTGCATTTGGGCAATCACGAATATTACCAGCACGGCAGCGTTTTCTGTTTTGTAAAAACATATTTAGACTCGCAGTTTAAATTAAAAATATAAATCTGGTTATGCAGATACATCACCCCCCCCCCCCCCCCCCCCCCCCAAAGAAGAACCAAGTTTAGTAAGTAAGATAGGTAGTATTTTGGCAAAAAGCGACGAGTGGTATCAAATGATCAATTGTACATCCTGATACAAAGGGATATCAAGTAACAGATGAATATATACACGTAAGTAATGCAAACGCGTAGTAAGTTTATGAATGAAGTCCACACATATTTACAACATGTAACAAACAGCTATATAACCTCAGTAGAATAGTGCCCATTCTGAATTCAACAACTTTACAAGACCATTGAAACCTTAAAACAAAACTTTTAAAATCTGATCTAGCCATTGAAAGCACATATTTCCCTTTTGATAAATGGAAGAAAGAGTGGGGGATACAGCTATACGTACGGAGAGAGTATTGAGCAACTAACCAATTAAACAAAACCTCTACCTACAATTAGTCTTTATTCCATTTCCAAAAGACAATAATCTAACTTTATCATGACTAACTGTTAACGAATGACAGTAGAGATGTTTGACAACTAGGATGCTGATTGATTAATTCTGACTTATGCTGTTGTAGTTCTATTTTTTTAACAAATGTAATTTTCTTACTCTGACATGGACACTGTTCATTGGTGACATCAAAGATACTTTGGAAATCAGCCTTAGCGTCTTCTAGTTCAGTCAAGAGGTCCTGAAGCTTGTCGGGGAGCTCATCTGGTCCAGGCTGAGATCCCAGTGATGGCACAAGGACAGCCAGGAGGACAATGAAGAGACCGTTGTAGAACATCGTCATGTTAATTCCGATTGACTTTTCGCCTCACCCTCAAGAGTTATTATAGGCATTTGAAATTCTCGTGGACCAGTAGATACCTGTCACGTGCCCAGGTGCGTCACCCACGTGGTAATATATACCTCGCTGTATGTAATTGATTTTGATAAAGATTTGTGCAAACCGCAGCATATTTTTTGCGATTTGAAACAGATGCTAAGGTTCAGGTTTTGTCTGTTTGACATATATTTTGAATTAGTTGAAGGACATGATACAATCGTTGGTGTAAATCAGATTACCATGAACAGTCGAGACATTAAGGCAGATAATTAAAAAAGGAGTCATAAATACAATATAGTTTGTCCTGATTTGTGATGATTTAGTGTGACATGGTCTCAACGATAGTTGCATACTGACTTTGACGTTTGAACAGGATCAGCTGGTGACTGACTAGATAACAGTCATATGAACAGGATCAGCTGGTGACTCTGACTAGATAACAGTCATTTGAACAGAATCAGCTGGTGACACTAACTAGATAACAGCCATATGAACAGGATCAGCTGGTGACACTGACTAGATAGCAGTCATATAAACAGGATCAGCTGGTAAATCTGACTAGATAACAGTCATATGAATAGGATCAGCTGGTGACTCTAACTAGATAGCAGTCATATGAACAGGATCAGCTGGTGACTCTGACTAGATAACAGTCATATGAACAGAATCAGCTGGTGACTCTAACTAGATAACAGTCATATTAACAGGATCAGCTGGTGACTCTGACTAGATAACAGTCATATGAACAGGATCAGCTTGTGACTCTGACTAGATATCAGTCATATAAACAGGATCAGATGGTGACTCTCTCTATATAGCAGTCATATAAACAGGATCAACTGGTGACACTAACTAGATAGCAGTCATATAAACAGGATCAGCTGGTGACTCTGACTAGATAACAGTCATATGAATAGGATCAGCCGGTGACTCTAACTAGATAACAGTCATATGAACAGGATCAGCTGGTGACTCTGACTAGATAACAGTCATATGAACAGAATCAGCTTGTGACTCTGACTAGATAACAGTCATATGAACAGAATCAGCTGGTGACACTAACTAGATAACAGCCATATGAATAGGATCAGCTGGTGACTCTAACTAGATAGCAGTCATATGAACAGGATCAGCTGGTGACTCTGACTAGATAACAGTCATATGAACAGAATCAGCTTGTGACTCTGACTAGATAACAGTCATATGAACAGAATCAGCTGGTGACACTAACTAGATAACAGCCATATGAACAGGATCAGCTGGTGACTCTGACTAGATAACAGTTATATAAACAGGATCGGCTGGTGACTCTCTCTAGATAACAGTCATATGAACAGGAACATCTGGTTACTCTGACTAGATAACAGTCACATGAATAGAAAACTAATGGCCATACTTTAGTGTAGCACGGAGATAAAGCAAGCTTATGGCAAATTAAATCATTCCTTTCAGGGAATTTGTTCGATTTAAGGAATACCACACGAATATCAATGAGGCTTCGGGATAGTTTTGCGATGCTCTGCGGTAGTTTCTGCACACTTGTATATTCAATTCCAATTAAAAGTCTGGGCATAACAAGTAATTGAAATTTGAATGTATGTCCCGCTTTGCACTTGAGGAAAGGCAAGAAGGCCCTCCTGAGTTCCCTTCTCAATACACCGGCACTGCCATTTCACTGTTTTAACAAACATATACTTGTACTTACTTATAGTGTTGCCTTGATGCACTTTCGGACGAATGCAACTGTATGTCATACTGTTGGCAGAGAGGCCGTGCCTGGCTAAGTATCTTTCACTCACTCACTCATACACTTGAGGCAGGAGCAGGAGCAGCTCAAGAAAATGGAATTTGCTTTTACACGTTATCCCAGTCTCCCAGTCTCCAAGTGTACCAGATTGGCGCGCAACCATAAAATGTCAACGCCAGAGAATGACCAATTTCGTTTATCCGCTCAAACAGATTCCAATGAGCGTAAAAGGCAAAATGGCAGTGCAAATTATATGAAAGGATCACTGAAAATCAGTGATGACTCCAGGTGTTATTGTTATAAAACCTTATTTGTACATATTTTTCTAATGGACCTTTCCCTTTGCTGTACGTCACATGAGGATTGAGCATGGAAATATTGCACGACTGTTGTGAATCTAAACACAATTTGTTTACATAACGAAATATCTGTGGAAACGTTTAGTTGTGGCCTTAAAGCAAAAGTCTTTCCCAGTATCATTTCACATTCATGGTCTGCTGTCTCAAATCAATATTTATGTAAGGGAGTTATACTTGCATATTAGTCAGGTAATCTTTTTTTAATCTCAGCTCGTCTTGTACTCAAGGTATACCACGTCGACATTATCTGTGCATTATCCAGGTCTATCCCAATTTAATGTTACATACCGGTGTGATCTGTCTGTTTATCCCTTGTCATGTTTTCAAAACAGTGACTGGTTCCACAGACGTCAGCCTCATGATGTGTTCAACAGATAAAAGTGTTTTCACATACCATGGTTTTTTTATATATTGTAGATTAATGCCAGAAAATTAGTATATCTGATATGCCTCACATTAAGTTGAATGTTACTTAACGCATCAGCAATATTGAGCAGTGTCAAAACGTGAGCACCTGTCTACTCCATTGAAGTAAGATGAGACCCAATCAGAGCATCACACCCAGTGACACTTTCATTTTGGCCTCACGTGAAACATGATGGCATGGCGACCTCGATTCGCTGTGCAGAGATGCGTCCCTTGGGCACGCCAGAAACCTATGATTGTGGGTTCGAATCCCGGTTCGCCCCAATTATGTTTCTAGGTTTGTCAGCACCATACCCGTGCTCGTGGGTTTCACCGAAGTGGTAAACGTCGGAGACCTGCATCACTTCGGGCTTTCGTCCCACATTAAGCTGACACGCCGTGATATGACTGGAATAATGTTAAAAGCGGCGTTAAACCCAACTCACTCACTCACTAACTCATGGCGACCTTTTCTGAAATAGAATCTCGTTTACCTTCAGATACAGGTAAGGTTAAAATGATTGATATACCGAGGAACTTGCAGACTTTTACCATGTTCAACCTGAAACATCACCACCACCACCAACCATCACATCAGCATACAATTCGCCTCAGTACCTACCGTCATTACCCCCGCTCTATCACACCAGCATCCGCCCCGCCTCAGTACCTACTGTTAACCCCCGCTCTATCACACCAGCATCCGCCCCGCCTCAGTGCCTACTGTCATTACCCCCGCTCTATCACACCAGCATCCGCCCCGCCTCAGTACCTACCGTCATTACCCCCGCTCTATCACACCAGCATCCGCCCCGCCTCAGTACCTAACGTCATTACCCCCGCTCTATCACACCAGCATCCGCCCCGCCTCAGTACCTACCGTCATTACCCCCGCTCTATCACACCAGCATCCGCCCCGCCTCAGTGCCTACTGTCATTACCCCCGCTCTATCACACCAGCATCCGCCCCGCCTCAGTACCTACCGTCATTACCCCCGCTCTATCACACCAGCATCCGCCCCGCCTCAGTACCTAACGTCATTACCCCCGCTCTATCACACCAGCATCCGCCCCGCCTCAGTACCTACCGTCATTACCCCCGCTCTATCACACCAGCATCCGCCCCGCCTCAGTACCTACCGTCATTACCCCCGCTCTATCACACCAGCATCCGCCCAGCCTCAATTCCTACCGTCATTACCCCCGCTCTATCACACCAGCATCCATTGTTAATACTGCACTGTACTGTATATCACAACCATAAAAGCCCGATCCATTGCTTTTCGCTAGACTCGCAAGTTGTGATATCTTGTCCCTTATTACATGGCCATTTTAAAATGGGGAATCATAATTCGTTTTGATGCTTTGTCTTAATGGAATAGGCAAATATAGCAATACAGTACACTACGTTAATAACGAACACGCTAAAAACGAACTGACGGATAAAGCGAACCGTTTTAGGGGCTCCCGTCAGTTTTCTGTATGTCTGTTGTATATATGCTCATAACGAACCTCGGTTATAACAAACTAAAATTAGTGGTCCCTTTGAGTTTGTTATAACCGTAGTTTAATGTACATGTCAAGTATTCATGGTTTCAGTGAAGAACTGATGTAGTCGAGTTGTGAAATGGACACCATGTGCTGCGCATCTGGCATTGATACCTGGGGAGAAGGGTCGTCGAAACTACTGTCAGCACCAGAACACCTGCCATCTTCATATGGCTTTATTTCTTGTATGAAAACCGTGCCTGACCCGCTAAAAATGTAGGGTTAAAAATGTAGAAAATATTATAAATATTATAAGTCACTTTTCATCTTTATGCTCGACAATTGTCAAACAATATATTTCCAATTAATGTGTATCATTTGGACAGATACAAATTATTGTAAATGTGAATGTATACACATACACATATATTATGATAAATATAAAAGTGGCAAAATTACATTTACTACATGATTATTATGTGATCATGAATCACTATGAAATAACACATATTCGCGAGGTTAACTTATCCTCCTCCACCAGCAACACGCGTCACAAACACTAACAAAAACAAGTCAATTGCTCTCTGTCAATACAGCGAATTTGGTCACTGGTGTGACAAATTTGGAAATGTCCTCCATACGTCTATCACAAAACCGTTTGGAAGCTCTACAGAAGGCTTGAAGGTTGTAACACAGATCAAGCATTTTGTTTTAAGTAAGAGTCATATGAAGCTCTTTCAACATTCGTGGAAAGAGCATGCCCTATTATACCTCAATAGGCTGGAGCTGCAGGAATATTGCTCGACATAAAGTAAAGTGTACTATTGGAAAGTTGAAGTCATCCCTCTTGTCATAGTCTAATGGACAGCTATTTTCTGACAGGCAATCTTTATATAATGATCCTTGTATGAAACAGATGAGGCAGTTTCACTGTTCTCTTTTATTTCCAGTTCAGTGGGTAAATCCGGCGCTGGAATTGGCTGTTCAACCT